CCCGGTGGTGAAGAAGGCGAAGTGCTTCTCGTCGACTTGACAGGCGAAGAAGAGGCGGGAACGCCTGAGCCGTTCGAGGCAGTGCAAGCGGCCTCGAGTTGGATGAAGCGACCCGAATGTCAAGCAGAACTCGAGAGGATTGCGGCTCGAGGGAGGTAGGAAGGTGCTCTCCAAACGTTGGGGTGTGGAGTAATTGTTGCGTGAACGCCGCGAAGAAGAAACGGCGTGGAAGGCCGACGAGGCGGAGCGAGCTGCTCAAGAAGAGCAGCGTCGATTGCGCGAAGTTGAAGCAGCAGCGCGGGCGCAAGGTGCGGAAATGCCCGGTGCTGCGACGACGACGTGGAAGTTCGAGGAGCCCGCGACGATGGTGCCGCGGGAACACTTTTAGATATTGGAGGATCTTGACTTCGCGCGAGTTCGGATGGACGAAGTTCAATTCGTGGACGACTCGGGCGAAGCGTTTGGGATGGGAGGCGTTGGCGAGGCAACGTTCGATTACGTTTGCGACGCCACAAACGACGTCAATGTCGTCGACGAAGCCGACGAAGCAGGCATACCAGCGCGAGTGCTCGAAGCCAACGCGTATTTGGCAGAGTTCGGGGCAACTTCGAGCGCCACGTCTTGTGGATGCTGAACGCCGTGGCCACGATGACGATGGTGGCCGCTGATGGACGAGGGTTCGCGCGCTACAAGCATGCGCGAAGGCGATCCAAGTTGGGTGTAGAGTGGGGCACGTCGACCTGTGTGAATGCGAGACGTTGATGGAGTACATTTCCGTGTTCGTGTACTCGTTGCTGCGACCAAACGCGGGGCGGCAAAAAAATCGGCGTATTGTATGGTCGACGACTGTGGGGGACATGGCAGAGTCTTTGGCGAATTTTGCCTTCACCCGTCGGTCTATTTGCGGACGTTTACCCGCCGAACTTGTCGCGCGCGGATCGCTGTTCGCGTAGGAACGCGGCGTGAACGCGAGGTAATGTTGAACGGACTTCGGCTTCTGACAACCATCGCGTAGATGTACCGTCTGTGACGGCAAGCTGTCGTTCGCCCTTCGTCCATCGCGACTGCATCACTCGTGATGCGGTCGAGTGCAGTGTCAACGACGGCGGGGATGGCGCCGTCGACTATACGAGCAGAGGTGCTGGGAGCGTCTCCTCTACTAATGGGACGGATGCGGAATCCACTGGATGATCCGCAGCAGGCTGGGCGGCTTGATGCTGTCGTTCTGGGCGGTCGATGACGCTGGATCGCGACCGCGGGTACGGGGGAATGAAGGCGGACCCTGCAACAGCGGCTCGGGTGCAAGGTAATGATGTTGCCGGCGTTTTGGACGGAGCGCCCGGCTGAGGGAGGAGGCGATGGAGTGGAGGGAATGTCTGGAAGTTTGTCAGGCAACCGCGCACATTGTGGCACCATCGCCTCCGGCCGAAGTGCAGCGTCCGGCGGAAGAAGACGACCAAGAGGAGGGGTAGAGGGAGCCACAGGAGCGGAGGGCGCGTCGTCTGGCGTCGTAGGAAGTGCTGGTGTAGACGCGTAACAACGTTTAAGTTTGCCGACGTAAAAGGACGGGTGCACGTTCCAATCGTTGGGATGTTCGAGTTTGTAGGAAGTCGAACTCACGACATCAAGAACGGCAAACGGGCCGTGCTAAGTGGAACGCAGTTTTACATTCGCGCTGGCTCCAGGAGCTGATCGGGGAGGGCCGATTTGTGGAGGAGGACAAGATCGCCGACAGAAAAGGTCGCCAAATTGGAACGACCACGGCGGTCGCATTGCATCGCCTGCCGCTGCTGAGCGAGCGCAATGTTCTCCTTGACCTTTTGCAACACATATTTACGATGGTCAAGGTAGTCCGTCAAGTCCTGGCCAGTCGATGATAGTCTTGACTTTGTCGGGATCAGCCCGACAACCACGAATGCCGACGAGGTCGCCAAGGACAAGGATTTCATCGACCCCAAACAGACATTTGGAGAGGTTGGTGTACAAGCCATTTTCACGAAGGACGGTGAGGACCGCACGAAGATGACGACGGTACGAACTTCGAGCATACTGGGTCTTTTTGTTTCCGCCTCCTGGTGGTCAGATCGACCAGGTGGCCCAGTGGATTTTCTTGGGGGACCCCCACCGTAAGAGGGATTCCGATTGCTTGGGCGGCGTTCAGTTGAGTAGGATCGCGCGTCTTGTGTAGAGGAAGTGAGTGTGCGTCGAGGGGCGCGGCACTCACGCCTAAAGTGACCCTTGCGGCCGCAGTTCCTTCACTTGTCGTCGTTGGCATGGGATAATGCCGAGATATCCATATCCGATGGATCGGCACGATTGTGCTCTAGGGCTGAGGCGTACAACTCAGCTAGGGCGATGCGAACAGCCTCTTCGAACGAAGGTGGATAGACACGGAATGTGTACGTGTCGGACCGTGGTTGAGTCCTGTAAAGACGTTGACGCGGAGCGCTTTTGATAGCGTGGAGTTGTCGTTGACATTCGCGGCCAAAAAGTGAAGGGTCGTGAATGTAGTCTTGCAAGGAGCGATATTGGAAATCGCTGTGTTGGGAAGGAAGCGGAGCTTTATCGCCGCAACGAGCTCGTCAAACGTTGCAAATGACATGGAGTTGGTCAGGCGGATGGAGTACGCCCAGTTTTCCGCATGACCCTTGGGATGGGAAAGGGCAAACGCCACACTTGTAGACTCGCGGGTGATGCACAGTGCATCGGCCGCGGTCTCGCCTTGCAGGATTCATCGGAGGAGCTTGCCGGCGTCGGAGTCGAACTTGGTGACATCAAGCTTCACTGGCTTGACACCCGTAGGGGGGGATTGTTGGGGCTGGCTGCAAGTCAGCCCCTACCGCAGCCTCTTGGTACACGCGGAGAGTCTGTGCCTGCGCGTCCTGAAGAGACTGGCGCAACTGGGACACAGAGGATTCCAGTGTCGAACTTCGGTCTCAAAGTTGTGCGACATCGGCTTGCAGGGAGACACCATGTTTGCGCATTGTTTTGGCTTGGCCCTCGCTCTCGTGGAGCGATTCTTCGAGGGCTCGACCTTCCTCGGTCAGCTGGCTGATGCAGCTTCGAGGGGTTGTGTCGTTGTGTTGAGGATGATGATGATGCCTTTCAGCATTCGTACTCGGGCATCGACTGAAAGGGGAGACAAGAGCGACTGGGTGTCGCCTTCGCCGAGTATGTCAACCATGCGGTCGTACAAAGCTTGGTGGGAAGCTGTCATGATCCTGAAGTGCTACCAGGTGTAGCAGGGCACACGCAGAGGAAGGAGTAGGTAAAATGAAGAATGAATTGGCAGGGTTATGATATCTAGCTCTGAT